TAACCAGATTAACCAAAATTATCCTTATGTAGGCTGTCTCGGTGTGTGTGTCTTCTTTGTAGTTTATATTGAGAGTTCATATTGAGATTTCTGGCCACATGTTGATTCTTTCATCAAAGAGAATCCTAGGTTATAAGCTGATAAATGAAGTCACTGGGAATGGAGTGGCTTCCTTCATTGTACATTATCTCTCTGAATTTTTTCTTTCTTAAATTCTTTTTGTGCTCAATATCCACTTTAATGTTCTACAAGTGCTGACATGTGTTTAAAATCGTGCTTTTATACTTTGCCTCACATTTTTAGGTGTTGTGTAGTAGAGGTCTTAGCATCTGCCACGATGTGAAAAACACACTTTTGCTTTCACCCCCTCTCCCAGTATTTAATAGAATATTTCTTTCGTTTATGACTTTTTATTTTGCTGAGAAGAGTATATTAAAGCAGCTTTTTCTCCTGTTGTTTTTCTTTCTTTCTTTTTTTTTTCCTGGCTGATCATGGGGCTTGAACTCTGGGCCTCGGCACTGTCCCAGAGCTCTTCAGCTCAAGGCTAGTGCTCTACCACTTGAGCCACAGCAACAATTCTGGTTTTCTTGTGGTTAATTGGAGATAAGAGTCTCATGGACTTTCCTGCTCTGGCTGGCTTTGAATTGCGATCCTCAGATCTCAGCCTCCTGAGTAGCTAGGATTACAGGTGTGAGCCACCAGCTCCTGGCTTTAGTTTAATTTTATACTTAGAGAAAGGTAAAAGAGCCGGGTGCCGGTAGCTCACACCTGTAATCCTAGCTACTCAGGAGGCTGAGATCTGAGAATTGAGGTTCATAGCCAGCCTGGGCGGGAAAGTCTGTGAGACTATCGCCAATAAACCACGCAAAAAACTGGAAGTGGCGCTGTTGCTCAAGAGGTAGAGCGCTCACCTTGAGCTGAAGAGCTGAGGGACAGCGCCCAGGCCCAGAGTTCAAGCCCCATGCCCGCCCCACCTTCCCCCTCCCCCAAAAAAAGGTAAAAGATAAGCAAAACAGAGGCATGCTTGCAGACTGACTAGTCACAGAACATTCCCTATGCAGTTGGTTCCCCATGAGCTGATTCCTGCCTTTCTTGCCTCATAATTAATTTTTTAAAAGTTGTTTTGGTGTTGTGAAGTGGGGTGAGATTCCCCTCTATATGGTATGTTTTTAATTTAATTTGACAGACTTGGGCCAAGGAGACAGGATTAGAAATCCATTCCTGCTATTATCCTATTCCTATTATCTTTCTCAGCTGTTCAGCTGTTCCAAGTCTACTCTGTGGGTGTCACATGACTGTCCTTTCCTCTTTCACATCTTTCCATTTTGGTAGGTTATTAGATGTTACCCAAACATCACTCAGTTATATAAATCTTTTTTTTTTCGGTTGGTCATGGGGCTTGAACTCTGGGCTTGGGTGCTGTCCCTGCACTCTTCAGCTCAAGGCAAGCATTCTACCGCTTGAGCCACAGCCCCACTTCTGGTTTTCTGAGTGGTTTATTGGAGATAAAAGTCTCCCAGACTTTCCTATCCGGGCTGGCTTTGAGCTGCGATCCTCAGATCTCAGCCTCCTGAGTAGCTAGATTACAGGCATGAGCCACTGACACCTGGCAGTTATGTAAATCTTGCTTGTGGTTTCCTCTATCTAATGTTGGAAAAATGAATGAGATACAATGATGAGTATAAAGGAATAAAATTACAGAAGGAAAAACTTGTAAGCAAAATCAGCACAGCAAATAGTCTGTTGTTCCCTGACGTTTTAAAACACTAAGATCATAATTCAAATGTCTCAGTATTTGGCTCTTAAGTTTTGCAGATTACAACATCAAAGTGTAGCTATTTTAAGCAACTAGCCTAAAGTTAGGCAAAGAGCCATTCTTCCACGTATCAGGTATTTCCATTAATTATTTTGCACTGTCTTTATTTACTGGAGCTTAAAACTTAGTTGGAAGAATAGTAGACACAGTTCTTACAGGACAACCCCAAGTAAGCATAGAGGAAGTAGGATTGGGGTCTTGAGGTCCTGTTCCTGAATGAATTAATTAATCTTGAAGGTGAATTGGTTAGTAAAGAATGATTTTGAAGATTAGATGTAATGCCTTTGGAATGGAGAAAAAGAAAGGCATGAAGTCTTTGAAGAGAACAATGTATGTTGAGATAATTAAGTTGCATTTGAGCAGAGCTGTGCTTCAAGTGTTAGAGTACCAGCCTTGGAACAAAGAAGTTAAGGGACAGCACCCAGTCCCTGAGTTCAAGCCCAATACTGCTACCAAAAAAAAAGAAAAAAAAGAGTTGCATTATGGAAGCCAGCAATTGATTTGGAGAATAGGATTCAAATGTGGTTGTGTGGGTTTGGGGTTGACTGTTTGGTAGTGGTCCTTAATATGTTGATCTACAGTTTAAATTTGCTTTGGATAGAAGAGAAGGAATTCCCACAGCTTTTAAATTAGATGGGATTCACATTCCACAAACCACAAAATTCATTTTTGATTTTTTTTTTTGATACCGGGTATGTCTGTTCTTGAGCTTGTGATTCTCCTGCCTTAGCCCCCTATCTTCTCATTTATTTGTGTCAGGCAAAGTGTGGTTCTTCAGATGGCATACTAATGTGTTCACCTTTGCAGCTGAAACTTCAGTCCCTTGTGTTACTGAGTCATGGGAAATGGGCAGGGCTGTGGCCCTTTAATAGCATTTAGCAATGTTAAATGTAGAAGACGTTATTAGTCTTGCAATTACGGCATGTGCTTCTTGGACTGGAAAACTTCAACGTGTTTTGACTCAACAGACTCTTAGCTACGTTTATTTTATTTTTAATTTTTTTCTTACTGTCCTGGGTGAACTCAGGGCCTAGGCACTGTTCCTGAGCTTTTGGGTCCGGTCATGGAGCCTGAACTCTGGGCCTGGGCGCTGTCCCTCAGCTCTTCAGCTCAAGGCTAGCGCTCTACCACTTGAGCCATAGCGCCACTTCCGGCTTTTTTCTTTTTGCTTATGTGGTGCTGAGGAATCGAACCCAGGGCCTCTGGCATGTAAGGCATGTGCTCTACCACTGAGCCACCTTCCCAGCCCCTCCCTGAGCTTCTTTTGCTCGAGGCTGGCACTCTACCACTTGAGCCACAGCTCTATTTCCAGATTTTTCTGAGTAGTTTATTGGAGATAAAAGACTTACGGAGTTTCCTGTCCAGGCTGGCTTTGAACCGTGATCCTCATATCTCTGCATAGCTAGGATTACTGGACTGAGCCACCAGTACCTGGCTCTTCAGTATGCTTAAGTTCCTTTTTCTTTAAAGTCTAAGTGATTATTCTCAAAATAATGCCTCAGATAGACAAGGTGCGATGGCTCATACCTATAATCTCAGCTACTCAGGAGGCAGAGATCAGTTATAAAGTTGTTTGCTCCTGCATCACAGTATCTTTACTAATAGATATTCTCAAACACCTCAGGCTCCTAAATGTTTCCCCATTTTCCTTTGGATCTGTTAGGAGATTGAGGAATGTTTTGAAAATTGGCAGTTTCAAGTTTCTGGCCTATGTTCAGAGTGTAGCTTGCCAGTTTCTCTGGTGTCACTTGAGAAGGAGCAGCCTGTACGTGCACATGAGCTTTCTGACCACCAAGGAACCACCAAGGGTGCATCTCCACTTAGCAGGCTTGCAGGCTGCCCCTTCTAGGACCTTCTGTCACATTCCTGGCCAACACACCATTCTGTTGCCTGCCCTAGCCAGCACTCCTGATGGTTTTGACATTGGTAGGCATATGTTTTTCCATGGGCCTGCTTTTGCAGGGTAGAGCAGCCGCCATGTCTGCCCTGTATAGAACTTCTGGGCTTCAATTCTTGTTGATGTGGACGGGATGCTTAGATGCCAGTGTTTTTCATGAGATTTTGTAGATTATCTGGAGGAAATGTTTCTTCTAAAGGAAGTTTTTTTTTTTGTTTTTTTTTAACAGACTGTCAGTTTAATCTTTTTTTGTGCTGGTACTTGGGCTTGAATTCAAGCCCTTGAGCTTGAACTATCAGTTGGCCTTTTGGCTCAAGTCTTGTATTTTACCCTTGAGCGACAGCTATACCTCTGGCTTTTTGGTGATTAATTGGAGGTAAGGGTCTCATGGACTTTTACTGCCCGGGCTAGCTTGGAACTACAGTCCATAGATCTCAGTCTCCTGATTAGCTCAGATTACAGGTGTGAGCTAACAGTGCCTGGCTTTTTTGGGGGGGAGGGGTAGGGGTCGAGGGGAGTTCTCACTATATATAGCTCAGCCTAGTTTCTAACTTGAGTTCTAACCTGAGGTCCTTTGCCTTCCTTGTGCTGGGATTATGGGCATGTACCTCCATGTCTGGGATTTTTTCATTATTTTTAAAGGAAAAGACTTGCTTAACTTCTCCACAGAGCGATGTTGAAAGCCTTAGTCTTCTGTAGTCTTACCCTCCCTCCAATCTTTCTCCTCACTGCAACCAGTCCCCTCCTCCCTGTGATCTGCCCTAAAACATGCCAGTCATTTCATCTCCAGCTTGCAAGTCTTCAAGTACCTTCACGTTGCTTTTAGAGCGCCCCCTAGCCCCAATTCCAATACTGCCTGTTGTGCTTTTCCGTGTATGAATCCCATCATTTTCCATCTTGATGTTCTTGAGAGAACATTCATTAGCTAATAATGATAATTAGAAAATGTTTTGTTGGCCAGGCGCTGGTAGCTCATGCCTGTAATCCTAGCTACTCAGGAGGCTGAGATCTGACGATCACGGTTCAAAGCCAGCCCGAGCAGGAAAGTCCAGGAGACTCTTATCTCCAATAAACCACTAGAAAACTGGAAGTGGCGCTGTGGCTCAAGCGGTAGAATGCTTGCCTTGAGCTGAAGAGTGCAAGGACAGCGTCCAAGCCCAGAGTTCAAGCCCCATGACCCACAAAAAAAAAGAAAAAGAAAAAGAAAATGTTTTGTTGTTACCTGCATATGTCCTGGTGTTAATAGTTGGTCTTTTTTTTTATATGTATATATATAATGATTTTTAGGTTCATGTACTGGACAGACTGGGGAGAAGTGCCAAAGATAGAGCGTGCTGGAATGGATGGTTCAAGTCGTCTCATAATCATAAACACGGACATTTACTGGCCAAATGGACTGACTTTGGATTATGAGGAAAGAAAGCTTTATTGGGCAGATGCAAAACTTAATTTCATTCATAAATCAAACCTGGATGGAACAAATCGGTAAGATACTATATAGATATTTTTCAGAATTTAAGAAAACTGTATTGATTCGACAGGCTCATCGAAGTATAACACCTGATGTTATTAATGTACCTTTTGTAGGAAGGGGATTTCCTTGTGACATATTCGCACATGTAAACAGTGTATGCTAATCAACCTCCATCCCTGTTCCATTCATTCCTTTCTTCCTTGTATGCCTGTCCTGAGGCTTGAGTTCAGGGCCTGGGTGCTGCTTGAGCTGTTTCTTTTTTATTTATTTATTTATTTTTTATTGCCAGTGTTGGGGCTTGAACTCAGAGCCTAGGCTCTGTTCCTGAACCTCTCTGTGCTCAAGGAACCTCTCTGTGTTCAAAGCTAGCCCTCCACCACTTGAGCCCCAGCGTCACTTCCAGCTTTTTCCGTGTATGTGGTGCTGAGGAATTGAACCCAGAGCTTCATGTGTGCTAGGTGAGCACTCTACCACTGAGCCACATTCCCAGCTCTCCCTGAGGTGCTTTGCCCAAGGCTAGCGCTCTTACCACTTGAGCCACAGCTCCACTTCTGGCTTTTTTTTTTTTTTTTTGGAGTGGTTAATTGGAGATAAGAATCTTAGGGATTTTCCTCCCTGGGCTAGCCTTGAACAGTGACCCTCAGATCTCAGCCTCCTGAGTAGTTGGGATTACAGGCGTGAGCCACCAGCTTCTGTCTTTTCTATTCCTTCTTAAAACAATTTCCATAGGTTTTGTTGTTCATTTCCAAACAGACAAAGAAACTACATCAGCTTCTCATCCTTATTCTCCCTCCTTGCTCTTGCTGGGCAGATAGATATGCTACTGCTTGAGCCCTCTCCGGTCCTTTTTGATCTAGATACTTTTGATAGGGGGGGGTTGGTTGTTTTGTTTTGTTTTGTTTTTTTTTTTTTTTTTGCTTTGGGGCTCTTTTTATGTGTATATGTTTGTTATTGCTTCCTGGTGATTTTACTCTTTCTCACAAAATGTGCTTTAGTAATTCCAGTAGTATTTTGTGTTTACTCAGTTCAGTCTTTCAGTTTTTGTGAGGGCTGCACCAGTGATATTGTTACCATTTGCTACAACCTTTTAATATCAACCTATTTGAGTCTGTGTCAGAAGTGGTCTCTCCCTTTTCCTCCCCTGGCTTCCCTCTTCTCTCCTCTTCTTTCCCTCCCTCCATCTCCCTCTCTTGGGGGTACTTGGGGTTTGATCTCATGTTAGACTGGCACTCTCCCACCCGAGCAGCTTCTCCAGCCCTGCTTTTTGCTGGTTATTTTGGAGATGGAGTCTGCTGAACTTTGCTGCCCAGACTTACTTGCACACTCAATCCCCTAGCTCTCAGCCTCCTGACTAGGTATCTATGATTATAGGTATGAACCGCTGGTGTCCTGCTCAAGTTGTCTCTTACAGACAGGATATAGCTGGATTTTTGCTTTGTTAAATTTTATTTGATTGGACTGTTTGTTCTAATGTTATCAATGGTAAGGTTGGGGTTCTAACTGGCATTTGACTTTTTTCTTGTTAAATCTGGTGTCATTTTGTTCCTCTGTCCTTTATTTTTGTATTTAGCCCCCTTTGTGTTGTTTTCTACTTGAATCATCTGAATTCCTTTTTTTTTACCTCCTAAAAGTAAATTTTTGGATTTTTAGGTGATTATTTGTAGACGGCAATATGTATTTTGTTGCATTTCAATATTAACTTAATATTTTCTCCTAGAATAGTTCCATTTCCTTCTTTTCTATGTTATTATTGCCCTGTGTATTACATTTCTGTTAAACCCATGTGGTGTTTTAATTGCTCTAGACAGTCTTAACGGATATTAACAGAAAATAACATATCCATAGAAGCTTTTGTGTCAAATTACATATTTTTTTCTGGCATTTTTTCTCAGTGTTTGTGTTTTCGAAGAAGTCATTCTGGTGAGTGTGAGTGTGTGTGTGTGTGTGTGTGTGTGTGTGTGTCCGGTTATGGGGCCTGAATTCTGGGCCTGGGCGCTGTCCCTCAGCTCTTCAGCTCAAGGCTAGCTCTCTACCACTTGAGCCACAGTTCCACTTCCGGCTTTTTTCTTTTTGCTTATGTGGTGCTGAGGAATAGAACCCAGGGCCTCAGGCATGCAAGGCAAGTACCCTACCACTGAGCCACCTTCCCAGCCCCATGGTGATTTTTTTCCATGTCTTTTCTGATATTTTATTGTGTTTGGTGAGATACTTTCTTTGTATACCTTAGTTTTTTTTTTTTTTGGGTCCGGTCGTGGGGCCTGAACTCTGGGCCTGGGCGCTGTCCCTCAGCTCTTCAGCTCAAGGCTAGCGCTCTACCACCTGAGCCAAAGCGCCACTTCTGGCTTTTTTCTTTTTGCTTATGTGGTGCTGAGGAATGGAACCCAGGGCCTCATGCGTGCAAGGCAAGTGCTCTACCACTGAGCCACCTTCCCAGCCCCTGTACACCTTAGTTTTGATGCTGACTTTTTAGTGGAGTTTCTGTGTTACTGTCTTCCCTTCCTCCTCTTTTTTTCTCACTGTGTATTCCAGCCTGGACTCAAACTTGTGATCCTTCTACCAAAACCTCCTGAGTGCTGGGATTAAAAGTGAGGCCTACGCACCTGCTGTATCTGGAACTTGTAGGAAAAAGCAGAGTTCATTACATCATAATTTAGCTTAACAGAGCTCATGGCTCTGTTCAGAAAAGCAGCTGTACTTTTTTTTTTTTTGTCAGTTGTGGGGTCTGAACTCTGGGCCTGGGTGCTGTCCCCCAGCTCTTCAGCTGTAGACCAGCAGTCTACGACCTGAGCCTCAGCCCCACTTCCGGCTTTTTCTGCTTATGTGGTGCTGAGGAATCGAACCCAGGGCCTCATGCATGCAAGGCAAGCGCTCTACCACTGAGCCACCAGCTTCCCAGCCCGACAGCTGTACTTTCTTGGATTTTTCTGATTCTGTTTTCTTCTCTTAGTTTTTGTCCTACACATTGCCCCCATTGTTTCTTTTTTTGTTGGTCGTGGGGCTTGAACTCTGGGTCTGGGCGCTGTCCCTGCGTTCTTCAGTGGGCCACTGCACCATTTCCAGTCTTCTGGTGGTTCCTTGGAGATAAGAGTCTCCTGGACTTTCCTGCCTGGACTGGCTTTGAACCTTGACCTCAGATCTCAGCCTCCTGAGTAGCTAGGATTACAGGCGTGAGCCACCAGTGCCCGGCCCATTGTTTCTTTTGTATCTGTCACACTTACTTTTCCTTACTTTGAGGCTCTGTTTGGACGGGAGCCTGAGGGTGCTGGTTGACCCGCTGGTGGTTGGGGAAGGACTCTGGTCTCTTCAGTGGTAGCACAGGATCAGCAAACCTCTGAGGTGTTTACTGTCTTAGATCGCTTTGCTGCGTCTTTCAGTGTGGTCTGTCTTGTGTGTTCTTCGCTTCTTAGATTTACCACATACCCCATTGTTTTTCCTAATTTCTTCTGCTGAGCTGGTGATACCAGTCGGGCTTTTTTTTAATCTGTTGGCAATTTTTATAGCTTCTAGTATCTTGGGTTTGTGCCTCTTCAAAAGCCTTGAATGTTGTTGAGGGGCTTTTAGTTCCCTCCCTCCCTCCCTATCTCCCTCCATGCACTCGCCCCTCCCCATCCTGGGGCTCAAACTTGAGGCTAAGGTCCTGTCCTTGAGATCCTTTTTACTCAAGGATAGTGCTCTACCACTTGAGCCACAGTACCACTGCCAGCTTTTTCTGTGATTAATTGGAGATAAGGAATTGCATGAACTTTCCTGCCATGCTGGCTTTGAACTGCTACATACTCATATCTCAGTCTCCTGAGTAGATAGGATTACAGGTATGAGCCACTCGGCACCCAGCTGGGGTTTTTAGTTTCAATACCTAACTGTAACTGTGGAGATGTCCAAAAGCCTGAGCCACCACCTCTGATGTCATCTTTTTAGGTATTACAAGAATCTCACTGTGATGGGGAAATTCCCTTCCAAGGCTAGGTTCATGTGTCAGAATGCATGGCAGTAGTCACAGGGTGTGGTTATAGAATGATTTATTACACACACAGGTGGTCCTTCAGAGATGGGGCCGACTTGTTGGGAGGAGATCCAGAAACAGGAAGCAAGCAAGAGCATGTGTTTTGTAAAGGTCAGTCCAGCTGGTATAGAGTTTGGAAGAAGCACCTGCCGGGTCCATGAACCCTGCAGAGTTGGCCAGAGAGCCGTGTACTTGGGTCACACCGACAGTGGAGAAGTTTGTTAGTGAGTCAGAAGTTGCTAGCACTCAGAACATGACTGCTGTGGTAGACCACTAGAGCACTGGCCTTGTTTTCAGGAGATGTAGACAGGGGTCCCGGGAGTGACTTGGTTAGACCTGCTTAGTAGTCCACAGAGACATAAGGCAGAAATAACATATTCATTGTGGCTCAAGTGGTAGAATGCCAGCCTTGAGCAAAAGCTCAGGGACAGAGCCTCAAGACAAACGGAAGCCTCCTGAAGACAAACCCAGTCCTCCTTACCATGTGATTCTCTAATTTTTCTTTAGTAGAGTATGTTCTCCCTGCCCTCTTTTTGGACTGAGCCACTGGAAAAGTTGAGTTTATGAAAATAGCAGAGCATTTATTTCCTTGGATAGTCTCAACTCAAAACATGATTTATTCACTTTTGCAGAACATTTGCTAGTTATTGTACTCCGTGACACAGTAAAGTCCTGTGCCTCGGATTCTTTACCTCTCCTTCTACATAGCATGAACTGTTTGGGAGAGATGCAGGTCTGCTTTGTCTCATGAATGTATTTTGCCAGTGGCAGGACTTTTGGCTGCCTGGATGTCATCTTAGATGATCATTGCTGGAATTGCTCCTGGTTCTTCTTGGCTTCTTGGCATGTTACGTGTCTTTTCACCCAGTTTCCAAGACCAGGAGAAGTGACTGAAGACACAGGCTCAGGGTCTGTGTTCTTCCACATCACCCAGGATGAACCTATTTAAGTCTTACTGCAACCCTGGCACTTTCCTGTTGGCTCACTTTCCTCCCGATGATAGAGCTACGGGAAAGGATAGGAGAGGTGAGGGCAGAGCTAGTATTTGGGCAGGGGCATTGAAGCAGTGCCAGTGCTCTGGCCTTCTCTCTCCTGTGACCTATAGTGAACTTGGGAGCTGCTGCCAAATTAGGGGCCATCCTGCAGGTCTGGGTTGGAGCTTTGAGACATCTTGAAAACATACTTGGACTTACCATGTGAATTGTTCTTCCTCTGTGTGTGTGACCTAAAGGTATGTCTTCCTCAGTATTTGTATTTACTAGTATGCCCTGTGGCCATTGTAAGCGATGACATGGTAGAAGAAAGTTGGAGGTAAGTTGTAAGTTTTCCTTTTCTGTTGACAGGCAGGCAGTGGTTAAAGGTTCTCTTCCACACCCTTTTGCCTTGACGTTATTTGAGGACACATTGTACTGGACTGACTGGAATACACACTCCATTTTGGCTTGCAACAAGAATACTGGCGAGGGTCTGCGTGAAATCCATTCTAACATCTTCTCTCCCATGGATATACATGCCTTCAGCCAGCAGAGGCAGCCAAAGGGTAAGCAATCCTGATTTCTACATTGCAAGAGGGAGCACTGTGGCAGTCTGAAATCTGGCTTTAGTGAGCTCAGCGGTAGAGGAAGAAGGGCATATCTGAAGAGTACGAGGGAATACAGGAAGAAAAGCACAGAAACAAGATTCAGGCCTGGCGCCAGTGGCTCATGCCTGTAATCCTAACTACTCAGGAGGCTGAGATCTGAGGATCGCAGTTCAAAGCCAGCCTGGGCAGGAAAGTCCATGAGACTCTGATCTCTAATAAACTACCAGAAAACTGGAAGTGGAGCTGTGGCTCACATGGTAGAGCACTCACCTTGAGTGAAAGAGTTCAGGGACAACGCCCAGACCCAGAGTTCAAGACCCACGACCAACCCCCCCAAAAAAGAAAATTCAGGTTCTTAACAGTACTCCATCCCTGTCCTTACACCAGACCTCATCCTCTGTCTGGGATATGGTTGGTAAAGGAACTCATTTGCTAGTCAGGGCCCAAAGATACACATTCAAGGGTCATTTCTACAGTTCATTATATACACACAGTTCTTCCTCGCACACTGCATGTGTGTGCTTAACTAGACTTTTTCTTTTTTGGATGAAAACTTGAATGTAACTTCCTAAGCTTGATGATTAAATATTGGCTTAAACATTTCTGTACATACCTCTCTCTCTCCTGTCTTCTGTCTTCTCCTCCCTTCTCCCCTCACCCCTCTTCCCTCCTCTCCACTTGTTCTTCTTTTCCCTCCTCTTCTTTTCCCCTCCCCCTACTTCTCTCTCCCCTTTTTTTCCCCTCCTCCCCTTCCCCTCTTCCCCCATCCCTTCCCTTTCCCTTCCTCCTCCCCTCTTCCCACTCTCCCCTCTTCCTACTTCTCTCTCCCTTCTTTTTTTCTCTCTCTCCCCCTTCCTCTCTGTCTCCCTCCCTCCCTCCCTCCTTCCCTTCCTCTTCTCCCTTTTCAGTTTTGCTTCTATTTTTGGTTACCCTTGACAATTGTCTACTGACAATGATCTCTTATAAGGGAGGAATGAAGCAAAGTTTAAAAGGAATAGGAGAATGTTAAGTGTTTGGCACTTGTGTGTAAATAACTGTCTGGCTGTGTCTGAGCAGACTTCAGATTTATGTTTCAAAGCCCGAAGTGAAAAGTTTTGGAATCATGTGTTGCTTGGTATTAGTTCTTTCCATTTAGGGGGACATAATCAAAATTGGAGTCTGATGGTCACAAACTCATAAAAACATTTTAAAATTACTCTCTGGTACAAAAGGAAATGTTTACTCGTGAACTTCTTAACTCGCATGGTCAAACCTCAGGCAAAACTCTCTCCCCCTCCCCTTTGAAAAAGGTACAGTTGATCCTTTGAGAGTTTGCGTGGATCTTTCTTTTCTCATGTTTCACGGTCTGCAGCTTCTGCTGAATTTTCTATATTATTATTTGAATACATCTATACCAGTTGTTTCCACAGATGTGCTAGTTTTCTTTTGGTCCGGTCGTGGGGCCTGAACTTTGGGCCTGGGCGCTGTCCCTCAGCTCTTCAGCTCAAGGCTAGCGCTCTACCACTTGAGCCAGTGCCACTTCCGGATTTTTTCTTTTTGCATATGTGGTGCTGGGGAATTGAACCCAGGGCCTCATGCATGCAAGGCAAGCACTCTACCACTGAGCTACCTTCCCAGCCCAGATGTGCTAGTTTTCATGAATGAATGAACGAGATAGGTCTCACTCTTGTAGTCCAGGTTGGCCTCAGACTTACTCTTTTGCCTCAATTTCACAGGTACCAGGATGCAGGTATGGGCCACCAGGCCTGACTTTGTTTAGTTTTTCCTCTTTTTTTGCGAGGGTGGGGAAATAGTCCTGGGGCTTGAACTCAAGGGCCTGGGCACTATCCTTGAGCTGTTTTTGTTTCTTTGCTCAAGGCTGGCGCTCTACTTCCTGAGTAGAATTTCAGGTGTGAGCTGCTAGTGTCTAACTAGTTTCTTTCTTTTTCTTTTTTCTTTTTGTCAGTTGTGGGGCTTGAACTTGGCTTGGGTGCTGTCCCTGTGCTCTTCAGCTCAAGGCCAGTGCACTACTGCTTGAGCCACAGCACCACTTCCTGTTTTCTAGTGGTTTATTAGAGATAAAAATCTCCTTGAGCCGGGCCCTGGTGGCTCACGCCTGTAATCCTAGCTACTCAGGAGGCTGAGATCTGAGGATCACAGTTCAAAGCCAGCCCGGGCAGGAGAGACCGTGAGACTCCTATCTCCAATAAACCACCAGAAAACCGGAAGTGGCGCTGTAGCTCAAGTGGTAGAGCGCTCGCCTTGAGCTGAAGAGCTGAGGGACAGCGCCCAGGCCCAGAGTTCAAGCCCCACGACGGACAAAAAAAAAATAAAATCTACTGGACCTTCTTGCCCGGGCTGGCTTTGAACCGAGATCCTCAGGTCACAGCTTCCTGAGTAACTAGGATTATAGGTGTGAGCCACCGGTGCCCAGCTACTAGTTTCTTTTTTAACCCATTTTCCTCCCGCTTCCTAGGGGCTAATTTCCATCGTTTTAAAAATGGTTTTACTATTAACTTTAGCTTGTAAACTCTCAGGGCAAGGCTTTTGTGCTTTACTTCTTATTTATTCCCTTTGGTAACAAGTAAATGCTCACTAATTCTGTTCCTTGTGGCAGGGTCGGTAGGTGGGTGACATTTGGTACTAATTTTGGTTTATCACAGTTGCCACGTTGTGGCTGTTAACCTTTGTGTATGTAGAGTGAGGAAAGGTTGCCCACCATCATTGGTAGTAATCAATGTGATTTATGTTTGACAGCTACAAATCCATGTGGAGTTGATAATGGTGGTTGTTCCCACTTGTGTTTGATGTCTCCACTCAAGCCTTTTTATCAGTGTGCTTGCCCAACCGGGGTCAGACTTCTGGAGAATGGGAAAACCTGCAAAGATGGTAAGCTGACGTCATCCAAGAAAAAAACAGTCTGCCATAGCAGTTGAGGCTTTTTATGACTTCTTTTTCTTCTCTGTAAAAGTATAAGCTCTGTAGATCACAGTGCTTTGGGAAGTTAGTCAAGTTAGTCACTGCCAAATGATTATGGGGACTGGGGTGTCTTGTATCTCATGGCATCTTCCTCCCTCTTCCTGGGACTTGAACTCAGGGCCTGGTCACTGTCCCTGACCTTTTGTATTCAGGGCTAATGCTCTACCACTTGAGCCACAGCTCCACTCTGACTCACACCTGTCATCCCAGTGACTCAGGATGCTGAGATCTGAGGATCATGGTTCAAAGCCAGCCCGGTCAGGAAAGGCCATAAAACTATCTCCAATGAACCACCAGAAAAACAGGAAGTGGCTCTGTAGCTCAAGTGGTAGAGCACCATCCTTGAGCTGAAGAGCTGAAGGGACAGCGCCCAGGCCCCGAGTTCAAACTCCATAACTAAAAACAAAAAAGAACAACATGGAATAGATAGTGATTGAACAAAAGCTTGATTGCGTGCGCGCGCGCGTGTGCGTGTGCTTGAACTCAAGACCTAGGCAGTGTCTCTTAGCTTTTTCTGCTCAGCCTGGCGCTTTACCACTTGAGCCATAGTGCTACTTCTGTGATTATCTTTTCTTTTTCTTTCTTTTATTTTTTTATGCCATTCTTGGCAGTAGAACTCAAGGCCTGGATGCTATCCCTGAGCTTTTGTGCTCAAGGCTAATATTCTGCTTCTGAACTACAGCTCCATACTTCAGCTTTTTTGGATGGTAATTGGAGATAAGATTCTTACAGACTTTCTTCCTTGGGCTGTAATCTTCAGATCTCAGCCTCTTGAGTAGCTAGGATTACAAGTGTGAGCACTGGTGCCTGGCTCTTTGTTTGCCTTTAATGCTAAGATAAGTGCTTTTTTTGTGTGTGTGTGGGGGTCGATCGTGGGGTTTGAACTCTGGGCTTGGGTGCTGTCCCTGCACTCTTAAGCTCAAGCGCTCTACCGCTTTGAGACACAGTGCCACTTCCGGTTTTCTAATGGTTTATTGGAGATAAGAGTCTCACACCTTTCCTGCCCAGGCTGGCTTTGAACTGTGATCCTCAGATCTCAGCCTCCTCAGTAGCTAGGATTACAGGTGTGAGCCACCGGCTCCGGCTAAGATAAGTGCTTTCCAAAGGAAGAGCAATTCCAGATTGGACTTTTTTTTTTTTTTTTGGTTAGTCATAGGGCTTCAGCTCAGGGCCTGGGTGCTGTTCTTAAGCATTTTTCACTCAAGACTGGCGCTCTACCACGTTGAGCCACGGCTCCACTTCTGGTTTTCCAGTGGTTCATTAGAGAGAAGAGTATCACAGACTTTTCTGTCTTGGCTGGCTTTGAACTACAATCCTCTGATCTCAAGGAGTCCAGGCATAAGCCCCCTGTTATCCAGATTGGACTCTTTTTTTTTTTTTTCTTGGGTCCGGCCGTGGGGCCTGAACTCAGGGCCTGGGCGCTGTCCCTCAGCTCTTCAGCTCAAGGCTAGCGCTCTACCACTTGAGCTACAGCGCCACTTCCAGCTTTTTTCTTTTTGCTTATGTGGTGCTGAGGAATCGAACCCAGGGCCTCAGGCATGCAAGGCAAGTGCTCTACCACTGAGCCACCTTCCCAGCCCCAGATTGGACTCTTTAGAGTAGGTTCTTTTCCTGCTTGACAGCACAGGTTACTACTTCTGCTTCTTTTTAATTCCCCATAGGGAGAGGGTATTGGGAGAAGTAGCTGATTCGGACATTTCAGGGACTTCTTTTAGGAAGAGTACAATTCTCTTCTTTTCCCTCTTAATGAGAATTGCTCTCCATTCTTCCCGGCGGATCACTATGCCTTTTCCAGCAACCAGAAAAACCTAAGGAAGCCATTCTGTGTAGCTGTCTTTTTTTTTTTTTTTTTTAAATCGAAAAGCAGAAGGCTTTATTTCAGTGTGCCGGAGAGTTCCTGGCAGGGAGGTCAGGGAGTCAGAGACGGAGTCGAGTTCGTGTTCTGGATGTTCGTTATGGCTTGGCAGTGATAAATTACCTTATAGTCAAAGGTGAAGTTGGCTGACTCCTGTCAGATGGTTTCCATGGCAAACAATAATTTGGTTTCAGTTTAAACAAAAGGTTTTTGTCACATTGCTTTTTTGTTTAAAAATGTAGCCTGACTTTAAAACAGAAAATTTATTTTAGCAATAGAAGTTTGTTTTCTCTCAGGGCTGTGCAAATGTACAAGTTTAACCGGTTTTAAATTTCAGGTGTACATTTGGCAGGTGGTAGTCTTAAATCCCAGTCTCTGGACCACTGTGCTCAAGTGGACAGCTCTGACTCCTCTCTGCTCAGCGTGGGCACTGCCCTGTCAGCATCATTCCTACCTGGGGCCTGCGTCTCATTTGGGGCTGCCTTCCTCCCGTCTCTGGTTCACTTTGCCTCAGTGTGAGAGTAAGACAGCGCGGGGAGACTATAATTCCAGATCGATGCTTGAAGTTTATATACCAGTGTTTTCTTTTGCACACATCTTTTTGGCTAGAAGGTTTATTTTCCCCCACGGTCCCTTGTCAATATACTTTTTTTTTTTTTTTGGCCCTGGGGCTTGAACTCTGGGCCTGGGTGCTATTCCTCAGCTCTTCAGCTTAAGGCTGGCACCCTACCACTTGAGCCACAGTGCTACTTCCAGCTTTTTCTGCTTATGTGGTGCTGAGGAATCAAACGCAGTGCATGCAAGGCAAGCACTCTACCACTGAGCCACTTCCCACCCCTAGGTGAGCAGTTGTTTTGGATACCCTGCTCTTCCTCTTGAGCACTGTGGTCGGTTGACCAGGCTCCCTCCCTCTGGTGGGGCTGTTGTTTTTTCTACAGTTGTCTTTGTGCTCATGTCTATCCTGTACTGCCCAGAATGTAAGACAGCTTACTGAAGTGTAATTTATATACTGTAAAATTCTTTCTTGTCAGACATATGCTTAGTTATTTTCAATGTGTGCAGAGTTGTGCAACCATCACCATAAATCCAGTTTTTGTAGCATTCCCACTAACCACAAAGATTCTTGTCATAGATTTTTTTTTTTTTTTAGCCTTAAAAAATCCTTCTTGAGGAAAGACTCTATTCTCTACTTCCTTGCTCCTTTACGTAGCTATTTATTATAAAGTCATTGTTGTACTGGGGGTTGAACAGAGTTTGAGAGTCTCAATGCTCTTGCTTAGCTTTTTTGTTCATGGTTAGTCCTCTGCCACTTCATCCATATCTCCTGGTTTTTGCTGGTTAGTTGGAGATGAGAGTTTTGTGGATTTGTCTGCTTGGGCTGGCTTTGAACCTTGATTTTCAGATCTCAGTTTCCTGAGTAGTTAGGCTTATAGGTGTGAACTACTTGTGTAAAACCATTATTGATTACCAACAGCTATGTTAATCAGAAGCTATCTAATAAATCAAAGCAGAGAGTGGGTCACAACTGGACTGTCCAGTTATTCTGGAGCTTAACCTCCCAGGAGACCCTCCTGTTTTTGCAATATCACTGCGTTTTCCACTTTGAGGAGAATGGCATCTCATTTCTTTCATTTTTAAATCCTGAAGCAGTTCTTCATTGATATAGAGCAGCTACATTTTGCTCACACCCTCAAATGATTTCTTTTTCATTTTTCCTTACGGTAGGTGCTACTGAACTATTGCTTTTAGCCCGGAGGACGGACTTGAGGCGTATCTCTCTGGACACCCCGGACTTTACAGACATTGTCCTTCAGTTAGAGGATATCCGCCATGCCATCGCTATTGATTACGACCCTGCGGAAGGCTACGTCTACTGGACCGATGACGAAGTGAGGGCCATACGCCGCTCCTTCATAGACGGCTCTGGCAGTCAGTTTGTGGTCACCGCTCAGATAGCCCACCCTGATGGCATTGCTGTCGACTGGGTGGCGCGAAACCTGTACTGGACGGACACTGGCACAGACCGGATAGAGGTGACAAGACTCAATGGGACCATGAGGAAGATCTTGATTTCAGAGGATTTAGAGGAACCCCGGGCCATTGTTTTAGATCCCATGGTTGGGTAAGAAGTTCTGCTGACTGTAACTCTTGTCTGGTGTTTCTGCTTTCCATAGGCCCTTGGGAACAGCACTCCATGGTAGGAAGTACAGGAACTTTATACTGGCTTATTGGGAAGCTCTTTAATGAGACTACAGTGATTAAATAAAATCCTAGGTTAAGGATTTGGTCCTATGGTCTTTTGCCTTGAATATTTTTTTCTTTCTAAATTGAGTCCATATCTTGACTGCATTCTTCTTTTTTTTTTTTTTAATATTGACTACATTCTGGCTATCAGAATTGTTAAAAAAAATGTTTTCAGAACTCCTCCCCTTGGCTCTAATTTAGTTTCATCCATTTCAGTACTTGTAGGGGAGAATATATCTAGTTCCCCAAGTCTTGGATACTGCTTTACTCCTTCCTTAGCGTTCTTTGTATGTGTAGCCATGTTACCCTGACTGCAGGCTGGGAAGGAAGCAGTAGTTTTCCTCAGACTCCCAGTGTTACTGTTGGTGTGAGATTTCTCTTGAGGACGAGCAGAGTGGCCAGTATGGTATCTCAATGCACATACCCAGTGCACAGAAACCTCAGGGCCACAAGAATCACAGCACTGCAGGAAGAATTACCTGTTTGGAGAATCTGGTTTGTTTTTTGAAAATCCCTACCAGTACAGCGATGACACACCATCAAGAAAAATGTGGAAGTTATGGGAAAAAGTATAAAATATTGAGAGAAAAAAGATAGAAGTAAAAGTGGAGTATCATTATTGGGAGCCATTTTCAAAGCCAGTTATAGAAAACACTGATCTGAAAGTTTCAACAGACTCAGGTACTGCTCCAAGAACGTCTTTGACATAGCTTGATTGTGTAAATGCTTCTGGTTTTTAGAATTCTGTTCTGTAGCAGTGGCTAATGACAGGAAATGTCATGTGTGGATGGAGCTCACATTGTCTACTCTTAGCTCACTCTCTGTATACTTCCATAGGTACATGTATTGGACTGACTGGGGAGAAATCCCGAAAATTGAGCGAGCAGCTCTGGATGGTTCTGACAGAGTAGTATTGGTTAATACTTCTCTTGGTTGGCCCAACGGTTTAGCCTTGGATTATGATGAAGGCACAATATACTGGGGAGATGCCAAAACAGACAAAATTGAGGTTTGTTCCTTGCTTTTCATGTTAAAATCAATTTTACAATGGTTTCTGAGTTGATAGTAATTTAGGGCAGATATTCTTACCTTAACAGTGTTTTAGAGAAATATTATTCAACCTTCATACTTGTAGAGATAAATGGGCTTCCTTCCACCTAACTAGGATTTCTGACTTACATTACATGGGAAGCTAACGTTGTTTCTGGTCTTAAGAACTTACATGAGTGATTTTCCTCATTTTGGGTAAAGCCACTGCCAGAAACTCCTAGAGGAAGTTTCTAGGAGGATGTTGGTGGGCCATATATTGAATATTAATGGTTACTACAGACAAGTTGGTCTACTATGTATCACAGGCTGGTTTTGAACTCTCAATTCTGTCTGAGCCCCCCTCAAAGCTGGGATTACAGGCATGAGCCACCACACTCAGCTGCAATTTTTAAATTTTTATTTTGTGCCATATAGTAGTTTGTAGAAGATATTTGCCAAGTGATAGAATTAAATTTGTGCAATCAAATAGAATTATAGTGAAAATAGTGGTAAGTATTTTATCACAGTGCTTTGGAAATGGAACATACTGTTGATATTGAGTGTGAAGTTTTAAATTCACAACTTTGAAGTAGGTTGTACTAGAGGTTTTTATAGCTCACATCATACTGAATTATGATCTTATTTTTCCTCTGGGGGTTTCAAGAGCCCTCATGTAAGGAGTGGCTTTGAATAGCTCTTCAGAGAACCTCTGCACATACCTAATGCGTAGAAAATTTGGACTGTAGAGCTGTTATTTGAGAAAGGTAATTCTGAGGAGTGCCAGGGACTTTTGAGGGAACCATGAATTGAGCGCTCTTCCCTCCAGAGTGGAAACTTGGAATTGAAGTAGCCCGTTAGTATTCCACGAGGCCCACGTACTGAAAATGGCCCCTCTGTCTTGCAGCTGGTTTCCATTACCAGCACATTTTGCCCTGTGACATTTCCTCCTGTTTTTGTTTCACCCAGATCCCCTCCTCTACACTTAGTCCAGGTTAGTGTTTGAATCCTGAGCAGCAGGGGGTAGTGCTAACGAGACAGTGGTGTGATTCACTTCCAGACTGGCTGTTCAGTTGGGTGTGCCCAAGTACAACCCCCCACCTAATCCACACGTGCGCATACATGCACACACTCATGCACACACGCATGCAGTGTCTCGAGGAAGGCTGAGCCCTGGTGTCCTGGAAGACTGAGGAGTGGTGAACCGCATCAGAAAGAAAACTACGGTTGACTAGTTTGAAGACAAAGGCCTTGTTTCTTGCTGGGAGTTTTTCACTTCTGGAATTTATTCAGAATCACAAATAATTCAGGAGGGGTTCAGATAAAGGAATGAGAATTTATGGAGTGACAGAGTTAAGTTATAAAGACAAAGACATACTTGATTACATAATGTTTATTAACAGAGTTGCTTGTCTTGAGTACAGTACACTTGAGAACCAGTATCTGTTCGGGCTGCTTTCTTCTGGCACCTGATATGTCCTCGTATGTACAGTGAGGTCATGGCTCCCTCGCCCTGTCTTTCCTTCTTCTCCAAGGTGCCAATGGGAGGCTGAAACCCAGGGCCTCACCTGTGGGGCTGCATTCTCACGTAAGCTTGCCTTGCAGATCCATCTCTCTTCCTCCAGGTTTCTGCACTTAACTGTTGTTCTTTGTCCTCTTTTGGCAGCTTGTTTGCTGTTAGTGGTAAAATTAGTTTCAGCAAGCTACACAAAGATAGCTTTATTCTTTCTACTGGAGATTCTGGAGACCTTTTACAAGTTGGGGTTCAATGGTTTTGTCGTTTTCACAAATAGTCTAGAAAACTGGGCAACTCGTACTATTGTTTATCTGTTCCGGGGTCTCCCCCCACTCCTTCCCTTTTCCTCTCTGCCTTCTTTCCTGGGCTATGATGCCCAGGCTCACTTCAACCTCCTGGACTCATGCGATCCCCTTGCCTCAGCCTCTTGAGCCGACCGTGTATCACACCAGTCTGGCACGTTTGAGGAGGAAACCGAGGAAACCGTTAGCTCTCTCCACTAAGACTTAGAAGTCATTATAGAAACTATATTTACCACACCATCATTTTCTCTCAGTTTACTTGATAGTAGCTGATAATACTGAACTTGAAAACCTTGGGAAAGATAGGTTATCTCTTCCCCAGAGGCTTTTGGGCGAGTCTCCTGTTGTGTAGTGTGTAGCCGATGATCCCAGGCGCTGATCTGATCTGAGACAGCTCCCTTCTAGTCCCTTCTCTTGAGAAAGCCTCCCGGCTTTGTCATGCCTAGGAATGAAGCAGCTCCATCTAAGAGTCTGTCAGGTTCTGGCTGTGATCCCTTCCTTGTCTTTTGGAGGACCTGAGACTTCATTCAGGATCAGGCTGCACCTGTTGAAGTTGCATTTGTTGTGGTAGGGCGTGGCAGCACGAAGGAGAGCTCAGACCTCAGTGTGCTTGTTCACTACGAGCCTGTCTAGGCCCTCCTTCCTGCTGCTTTTCACTCTTTCCAGTAGTCATGTGGCCAGGGAGAAGGAATGGGGAACCCTTGTTTTCTAGATCTGACTTGTTTTTAATGGAATTACAGAACAAACACATTTCCCTCTGATTTATCTCAACCTCTGGAAATTGGGATGGGACATTGGTCATTGCTGTGATACTATACTAAAGGACTACCACAGTGGCTGCTGCTTCAGTAACAACGTGGGGGGGGGCTGTGCCTGCTTCCTCTGCTTGTCAGCTGATAGCGGCCACTTGCCTGTAGGTGGTGTTTAAAAGGTACTTGCTGGTACCTGTCAGGTTTCTTATTACGCTGGAATGATTTCATCCCTTTATGAACGGACTTTCTGGTTCACCCGTCTGCACCGTTCCCACACCTCCTAACTTCTGCCGTGTTCTTCTAGGGCTTCCTGTATTAGCAGAGAAAGAGCCATTGGTTTGCTTGGTTGGCTGGTGTTCTGCTACTTGACTTCCAGTTCTTTGCTGATTATTTTTGGAGATGGACTCTTTTGGACTTTTCTGTCCAGACTGGTTTTGAACCTCTGTTCCTGGATCTGATCTCAAGCTCCTAAGTAGTTAAGATTACAGTACAGGTGCAAGCCACTGGCACCTGGCTTTGTGCTCTTTGTTTTTTTAATCCTTCTTTTGCTGGTCCTGGGACTTGAACTCAGGGCTTGGGTACTGTCCCTAAGCTTTTGTTCTCAAGGCTAACATTCTACCACTTGAACTGAAGCACCACTTCCAGCTTTTTAATGGTTATATTGTAGATAAAAGTCTCACAGACTTTCCTGCTTGGGCTGGCTTTTCTCAGTTTCGGCCTCCCCAGTAGCTAGGCTTGGAGGCATGAGCCATGGCACCCGGCCCTGGCTTTGTTTTTGAGAAGCCTTGAATGTGGAAGGTAGCTCAGGCTGGCCTCTCTCTGGCCTCTGCCTTGCAAGTGGTAGGATTATATGAGGATGTCACCTTGCTTGGTTAGCTTGTGTTTTCTTTTCTTTCTTTTTTTTTTTTTTTTGGTCAGTCGTGGAGCCTGAACTCTGGGCCTGGGCGCTGTCCCTCAGCTCTTTGGCACAAAGCTAGCTCTTTACCACTTGAGCCACAGCGCTACTTCTGGCCTTTTCTGCTTATGTGGTGCTGAGGAATCGAACCCAGGGCCTCATGCATGCAAGGCAACCACTCAGCCCCTGAGCCATCTTTCCAGTCCCAGCTTGTGTTTTCTTGAGGGTACCTTTCCACTTTTTAACTAAATAAAAAAAATTAAGCTTTGTATTGAAATAATGACAGTATCATATCTAAATTTTCCTCACAGTTCATTCTTCAATTATTCTTTTTTTACCTAAGCTTCTCTTCCTTCTGAGGTTCTGCTGACAGTGTGACAATACCTGGTAGTTAATAAGTTTAAAAAAAGAGAGATTTTTCTTGTCTAAGAGTATCTGGATTTGTTTGAAATCTTAGTATGAATTTCCTTTAGAGGATACAATAGCTATATGTGGTTTTGTCAATTCTAATTATTTCTGGCATAACTTTTTTGGGCAGCAGAAATGGAGACTATTAACATGTTTAGTAGCCAAGGAATTTTGAATAAAGAGGGTATTATTGTCTAGGATGTGTGCTGAAAACTTGGCATTTGGTGAATGTTCTGTTTTATATTCTAAGCCTGAAATTGCAGGGCTATGTTTTCCTCTGATGACAACTTCTTTTTTTTTTTTTTTTTATCAACACCCTACCTAATAAGGAATTTTTCCCCCCAAGGATTATTTATTTTTAAAGGAATTTCTTTGCTTGGCATCTTTAACCTGTATGTTGTGAAAGTCTGTCAAAACTCATAAGGGCCTATTTGTGATGTTTTTTTCCTGCTCTGGGTTTCTAAGATTAATCCTGTGTTAAGAAATTGTAATAATATAATTACCTATTGTTGAGATAAAACTCTCATGCTTATATGGCAAGTATCAGCAGGTACTTCCTTTTGAATCTTTGCCAGTTTATGTAATATTTAGTGTTCCTTTAGACTGATACTTTTTGTCTGAGAAACCTTCAAGAATGGTTTCTGCTGCTGTACCATGCTCTACGCATACATTTTCCCTACACCTTCATGAGACTTGATCATGGAAGAATGACCAGGAAACTCCATCCAGTAGGTCCTCAGCTGAACAGACAGCACCTGGATTTTGAATCTCTGTCCACTGAGTTGTACCTGTGGTTTTGTCCTACTATATCCTTTTTACATCACCTCATGATAATGAATTTGCAAAATCTGCTCATTGATTGTGAGCTGCCCACTGATGAAGTCCTAGCACCATTACCTGACAGAGTTGCCATAACCCATAGCCACCCATGCCACTGTCATCCAGTCATGTGCTGTTGTCTCCTTATCTGCCTGCCTCGCTCCGTTTCTGGAGTCTGTAATAAGAGAGGCTTACTTGATGATAGGTGTACTGACGCTATCCTGAATTGCCACAACAACCCCTAGAGCCATACCAAACAAGGGCTTCCTCCCAGTAAGGAGCCAAGGTAGT